AGGTTCTAGCAAGAGAAAATAATCATGCTTGTCTAGTGCTGAAAGTATTTAACTCTTTTTCTGTGCTTGACCTTTTTATCGTGTAGAATGATGTGGTAGTGCCAGTTATGACAGTTGCCGTTGGAGACAGGGGCTGAAGTCACCGGTCCACCAAGGCTGCCATATTATCATATCTAATGCAGACTTAGTAAGAAACTGGGAAAATGTTGGAGGCTGTAGTCAGACTTAATCCCCACTATCAGCACTTCACCCTGATGGAGTTACTCACACCAACACAGAAAATGTAAGGCAGTGTGCCGCTTAAATAAGCATAGCTCACAGTTAAACTACATGCTGACAGAGTTCATAATTAATGATGAGCCCTGTGATTCGGTCTCAGTATAGAGAAGGCTTCCTCTCCCACAGATACCTCCTGACATTTTCCTCCCATTACATTTTTCATGTATGCAACGCTGGCTAATCCTAATATATATATACAGTAAGGGAGAGGGATTTAATTGAATAAATGTCAAGCTAATTAAAGTCATTTTTCAGAGGGTAGGTACAGATATGGGAAATGACAGAAGGGGGTAAGAAGGAGGTGGTGCTTGAATAGAATTGTTTTTTGTCCAGTTTTTTACTCGTCCTTTTCCTCCCTGAGCATGAATGCTTTTGTCAAGTAACAGGTCTCAATAAGCCTGCCTGAAAATGATAGAGTGGCTGGAGATTGAGGTAGCGAGGCGTTATGAGGGGGGAAAAATGTCAGGATGGGGGATGAGTGCTCTTTTCCCATCTGTCTCGGCCTACTCCTCTCCTGGTGTGAAACTACGCCTCCTGGGTTAGAGCGATGTAAAAGAGCCATGGTGTCGGGTGAAACATTGTCGCAGCGCGGAGCGGCTTGGCTAACGATGACAGAATACAAGCAGACTGGACATCCTCACTGACCAGCTCCACAGGCTCACCCAGAAAGGGCTCCAAGTACTTAGCCGAGTATTGAAGCTCTGGAAAGGACTCGGCTCTTCTTGTTAGGCTGGAGAAAAAAGGGGACTCTCATATGCCAGCTTGGCTGACTACAAATACCCCTGCCTCTCCAATTTTTAATGTGCCTCTTTTAAAAAAAAGTGCAAGTGTGTGTGTGCGCAGGATTAAGGGATTGACAGAAGAACTAAAGACTGGAATATAGAGAGAGCAGTGTCAGGCATTAGACACAATTAAGATGGTGGCTT